CTGTCTCGCATACAGGGTTATCGTTACCATCCTTCTAACTTCTGTATATATGCATTAGTATACTGTATTGGTGTTTTTCTTTCTGGCTTACTTCACTCTGTATAATAGGCTCCAATTTCATCCACCTCATTAGTACTGATTCAAAGGTATTCTTTTTAATGGCTGAGTAATATTCCATTGTGTATATGTACCACAGCTTTCTTATCCATTCATCTGCTGATGGGCATCTAGGTTGCCTCCATGTCCTGGCTATTATAAACAGTGCTGCAATGAACATTGGGGTACACATGTCTCTTTCAGATCCGGTTTCCTCAGTATGCGCAGCAGTGGGATTGCTGGGTCATATGGCAGTTCTATTTCCAGTTTTTTAAGGAATCTCCACACTGTTCTCCATAGTGGCTGTACTAGTTTGCATTCCCACCAACAGTGTAAGAGGTTCCCTTTTCTCCACACCCTCTCCAGCATTTATTGCTTGTAGACTTTTGGATAGCAGCCATTCTGACTGGCGTGTAATAGTACCTCATTGTGGTTTTGATTTGCATTTCTCTGATAATGAGTGATGTTGAGCATATTTTCATATGTTTGTTAGCCATCTGTATGTCTTCTTTGGAGAAATGTCTGTTTTGTTCTTTGGCCCACTTTTTTATTGGGTCTTTTATTTTTCTGGAATTGAGCTACAGGAGTTGCTTGTATATTTTTAAGATTAATCCTTTGTCTGTTTCTTCATTTGCTATTATTTTCTCCCATTCTGAAGGTTGCCCTTTCACTTTGCTTATAGTTTCCTTTGTTGTGCAGAAGCTTCTAATTTTAATTAGGTACCATTTGTTTATCCTTGTTTTTATTTCCAGTATTCTGGGAGGTAGGTCATAGAGGATCCTGCTGTGGTTTATGTCGGAGAGTGTTTTGCCTGTTTTCCTCTAGGAGTTTTGTAGTTTCTGGTCTTACATTTAGATCTTTAATCCATTTTGAGTTTATTTTATGGTGTTAGAAAGTGTTCTAGTTTCATTCTTTTACAAGTGGTTGACCAGTTTTCTCAGCCCCACTTGTTAAAGAGATTGTCTTTTCTCCATTGTATGTTCTTGCCTCCTTTGTCAAAGATAAGGTGTCCATGGGTGCATGGATTTAACCTGGGCTTTCTATTTTGTTCCATTGATCTATATTTCTGTCTTTGTGCCAGTACCATACTGTCTTGATGACTGTGGCTTTGTAATAGAGACTTAAGCCTGGCAGTTTGATTCCTCCAGTTCCATTCTTTCTCAAGACTGCTTTGGCTATTCAAGGTTTTTTGTATTTCCATAAAAATTGTGAAATTATTTGTTCTAGTTCTCTGAAAAATACCATTGGTATCAGCTTTGTTTAAAGCAGTTGGAAAACTCTCTTTTTTTAAAAAAGGATGTGTTAACTCAGTTATCAAGTTCACTAATATCTCAATAGCATCCTCAATGTTTCCAGTTGTTTCTTTGCTTGGCTCCCAGGAACTTTTTAAAATCCAGGCAATTGACCATGGTAGGATTTGAGGTAGAGGTGGGTGAGAGGTTCACCAGTCTGTGGTAAAAGGGAAGAAAAATTTCTAGATGGGAATCAAGAACCAGCATGATATTTCGACTGCACCAGTTCACAGGAAGATCAGTTTGTGGAAGTTAAGGATCTAAAAATTAATTCCCATAGAACTGGCTACAGACTTTGGGACCCTTTGGAAAATTTTTGCCTGCCCCAGTCTGAAGGCCTGCTCTATGGTACCAGACAATCTGAGCAAAGTCTTCCATATTTGTTTGATGACAGACAAAGGAATTTTGAGAATGGCTTTCAAAACAGTAGCTTGGATTTCAAGCCTATTGTCTTGCTGTACACTCCTGTTTTAAATTTTGGAAGCTGAATATTTATTCCTTCTTTTTTTCCCATCACTTTGGTAACTCTGAAGAGTGCCACATTCCCTGTCCCCAAGGCCAATTGATTCCCCAGGCAGGCAAAGGAGAAAAAAAAAATCACATAAATTATTTTCAAAATATGACCCCAGTTACACAAATATTATGGGATTTTATGGGTTGGATGGAAGATGACTGTCTACTTTCTTCAAAAATGCTGGGAATAAGTTTGGTGATTATAAATATAATATTTTAATATAATTTGTATATTACATAGCATTTTATAGCTATTATTAATATTTCAGATTATGATTCCTTATGAAATTGTTTTTATTATTTTATCATTAAGCTATGATGTCCATGTGCAGTCATTCTAAAAAGAATGAATAATTTGATCTTTTTTTGCTCTCAAATGATTTAAAGCAGTCTTTCTGATTTCTTCTGTAAAAGGCCTATAGTACTGAATCACATCAGTCACATTAAATTGATGTTACTTTAAATGAATCCATTATTTATGATATAGAATTGTATAGTATAGTGTACCTGCTCTGGAGTCAGACTAAATAGTCCCAAGTCCTAGCTCCTATACTAACTAGTGGTGTGGTTGTGGGCATATTACTTCTCCTCCCTAAGTTTCCTTGTCAGGAATGGTAATAACAGTACCTGTCTTATGGTTGGATGTGCTCAGTCGTGTCCAACTCTTTGCTACCCCATGGATTGTAGCCCGCCAGGCTCCTCTGTCCATGGGGATTCTCCAGGCAAGAATACTGGAGTGGGTTGCCATACCCTCTTCCAGGGGATCTTCTTGACCCAGGGATCCAACCCAGGTCTCCTGCACTACAGGCGGAATCTTTACTGTCTGAGCCACCATAATTTGCTGAGAAACATAATACATCACCCCACTCCCAATATTTTTTTTTACCAGTGTGATGAATGTTTTATTAAAAATACAATAATTTCTTTTACCAAGTCTGGCTAAACCTCCAAGGAGTCTATTAAATAAATGAGAAAAATACAGTTAAGTTTTTCCCTGGTTGGATAGGAGGATAAAATGAAATCATGGCTCATGATAAATAATTAGCTGGTTCTTTTGTTGTTGCTGTTATTATTATTCTTATCATTCACTAAGAGAAGAGAGATGATATTAAGTCACCATCTGACTGACTCTTTTAAGGATTTCTTCAAACACATGTCCAGCTTTCCTAATAAATTAATTCTCTGAAAGGGGCCAGTGTTAGAATTAACAGAGTTGAATTTCTCTGACCCTTACATAGAAAAACTAGAATTAACGTGGTTCTTATCCTAGAATAAAAGAAGTAAACATGTCTTAAGCTATGGACATTAGGCCAGGAAAGAGCTTCAGTTTCATGAAATTATACTGGGGCTCCTCTATGCTACCTCTTTTCTTAACAGAATTTGCCTTACTGCACATTGAAAGTCAGTATTTCTACCTGAACCCTCCCCAAAGAAATACAATATTCAGAATTGCTATGCTTAGAATTCTGAGTTAGAAACAAACAGGTTATATGTATACCTAAAGAGACAAATGTATAGACTAACTTGGGATAGTCCAAATTTTATGCAAGGGATTGACCTTTTTATTCAAATTAATTTTTATTTAAAATAATCCAGCAAGTCACATTAAACAATATTTATCTTTTCTCCTGTAAACTCATAAAGCATGCACAATTGTTCCTAGTTTAGGGGTAGGTCTAGTGTATCTCCCACTTAAGACTGTTAGATCTAGATGAATGGCCTCATAAAAGTCAGAAGCTGCAACCTGAGAAGTATGTTTCCTGTGTTCTTCCACCCCTCCACCCCCTCCACCCCCCCACCCCAACCCCGCTTTCTGATGGCGCGCCACAGTCGTCCTGTGAAGCTGGCATTTTCATTCTGTTGCACCTAAACAGATTTTTAAGGAAAGAAGCAGTGAAGGATGGAAGGGGTTACCATCACAGTGTCCATACTAATTCCTAGAATCCTTTCAGGATTTAGGGTCAGTAACAATTCAGTAAAGAAGGGGCCCATTAGGTAAATTTGGCTCTGAAAATGCTAATTGAAAGTCCTCCTCTGCAATTCAGTTCTGTTCCCTCTTCCTTTCTTTAGTCAGCAGGGTCCCATGGTGACTGGTTCTGAACGCAGTCATCCCCTTCAGCAGTTGCCTAGCACCATGGCAACCAGGACGTCACTGAAGCAGGAAAGACCCTGCACAAAACAGCTCCTACCAGACTCGCTCTCTGACTCTTAACTCAGCCCTGCCTGAGGCCTAGGGAATGGGGCTAAGGACATCTGAACATACACACTCAAGAAACCTACATATTTCTGTGGTTGTGCCTGTGAGCATAGATATATGGGCATACGATAAACTGTGTAATGAGAATTTCCTCTCCACCCCCAAAACATGGAGCATGTTTAAAGGGTGTGGATGGGTGGTGGGATGGGGGTGGGAAGGTAGACATTTGATGATATGTAAAAATTATGTTTGTGTTTATAAAAGTAAGTTGACAGTAGGGGAAGTTGGAGTCCTACTTATATATGGCCAGGTGTATATTTAGACACAAAACCTCAGGGAAATATTTTTTAAATAGTTGTATTTACCCGAGAGTGAAATAGACGAATGAGCACTGCTGAGGGGGTGTAATGCTGTCCGTGGTGCTGAACACTTGGTTTTTGTCAGATGTGCCAAGGGGGCTCTGGAGGGAGCTTAGGGAACACCTTTCCAACTCAGGGCATGGATGACAAGAGAGAAAGGGAGGGCCTGGGGAGAAAGCATCCTTTCCTTCCCTTCCAAGCAATTCTGCACGTCCAGGATAAAATGTTCGGATGAGAAATAAAAAAGAAAGTGGAGAAGACTAGAGGTTTGGATGGTTGAATCTTCGCCTTTTCATATGGAGATTTTCGGTCAGAGCCAATCAGGTCGGAGATTTCTGCCTCTGTGCTCCTGAAAGGAAAAGTGAGGGGGAAGGGAGAGAGAAGCTGGCCACATTCTCCTCCTGAGCCACATGATCCATTTCCCATGTGACACATTCCAGAGCCCAGGAAAGGAGAAGGGAGGGGCGCCGGGAGAGTGGGGCTGGGGGCGGGAAGACGGTTTAACAGTCACCCCTGCACAGCGTCATCTTGTCTTCCCACCAGGAAGCAGGCTGCGAGCCAAGGGGAAGGCAGAGGACAGATATGCCTGTGTTCCCAAGCTTCTGTGGCGGTTTATGGCATCCTCCAAACTCCTCTGCAAGGGCTGATCCTGACCGAGAAGACCCAAGGAGACGGTTTCTGAAATCAAGTCCAGATGAAGGTATGTGCTAGAGACCCCGCGGTTTCGTGGCTGAAATTTGGCTCAGAGGATATGATACCTTCTGTTTTCCAGGCCATTTGGAGATTTTGTCTTGGCTTACATGCTGGTTAGGGGCTTTTGATTGTCACAGGTCCAGAAAAGATGCCTAGGTAGTTCTATAAAATGCATAATTCACCACAGTAACTGCCTGTTGAAGAAAAACGAGATGGAGATTGTATACAGTGATAATGAATAAAACAAAACACTCATTGCTGAAACAGATTTTTTTTTTCCCTTTGAATCCTGGAAAGAGGGAAAGCATAATTTTACTGACACCAGCCAGATTTCATATGTCACTACAATCAAATCCTGTTTCATCCTTTTTCAGCTGCTTATTCTGTGTCCATGTTCCCAAAGGTTATTGGCTGTGGCTGAGGGAGTCTGAGTGGGCTAGCATGCTGTTTCTTTGTGCTGTGTGATCATCTTCCTTCTGATGTCCCTAATACCAGGAGTGCTTGTGATTGTTTTCAGCTCTCTGTTAGGGAGGGTAGGCTGTCCACCAAATCTCATATCTTTCAGAATAGCTACCAAGAAGGCTCCCAGGAAGTTCTCAAAGGAATCTTCCAGAGTTACAGGCTAAAAGAATCTGCCATGCACTCAAATCTTGATCCCTTTGGTTATTTCTACCCAGCACAAAGAGAGGAACTATCAAATTTACATTTTATTTTGTCTTTATTTAACAAATACTTATAAAGTTCTTGCTATCTTGGCATCATTCTAAGCACACTCAGTTATTTAATCTGTATAATAACCTTCTGTGGGAGTTATTATTAGTACCCACATTTTGGAGATGAAGAAACTAAGGCACAGAGAAGTTAAGGAACTTTCCCAAGGTCACACAGCAATCAAATAGGAGAAACAGGGTTTGGACTGAAAAAACTTGACATCAAAGTCCATGCTCTTAACCACTGAACTGTGTTGCTTCCCTGCTTCCGTTATTTCAGATGATGTCAACAGTTGATCTGGTTACAAATTTTGTTCAGCTGACACTACTAGAACATTGAATCGTTTTCCCTGGCTAAAACAGATCCCCAGTGAAGTCTATATTTAATTTTGAATTATCCCACTAGTCACATTCTGTACCCCCAAATAACTCAGTAAGTAATTGCCTGTTCTTCTCTTCCCCTTGTGCTGTATAGATATCTGGTAGTAAAATACTGTGTTGCTATGGTGACCAAATGATGTCTAAAGGAAAAAAAGAAATCTTAAATTACTTCACAGTTGATTTTTTTTTTTAATCAACCCAGAAACATTCTTCCATCCTCAGGACCTAGTAACAGGACCAGCCTAACCATATTATCTTTAACAGTACTTACCTGGCTTTCAAAATAAAATAAATAGATTAAAAACTTCTAAAACTATAAACACAAACTATGCTTTATCAAACTGACTAGATTTATTGCTTTAAAATAACATTATCATACTTTAAAACAGGGAATAGACCTCTCTTTTACAAATTATCTCAGGTTTTATGGGAAAAAGAGGGATTTTTTAACTTCTGAAAATATCTGAAATATAAGATTTACTTCATCTTGGTCTGTGTTGTTTCCCTTCTGGCCCTTGACAAGAAAAGATGACATCTCATTCTTATATGCTGTGGGAAAACTTAGAGAAGTTACTGGGTGGGTCAAAGATAACAGAGAGAAAGAAAAGGGGGTAAGAAATAAAAATTTGTGAAATTCCTCATGTATAAGGTGTTTCCCTTGAGGCTTTCATTGAAAAACACTTTGAGAGGAGGGTGTCTCCCTGACACCTTGAACTTTATTGAACTTTAGTTCTTAGTTAAGCCTTTGATCCTTGCTGAAATCTACATTTCCCTGGAACAAATACACTTAACACTATTGTAGTCATCTGAAGTCAGCTTCTGGACAGAAGGGACCCACTTCTTCCATCTCTGGATTTCTAACACTTAGCACTGGCCTGTTTATGATATCATCTCAATCTGCACTTGTGAATGAGAATGGGAAGACTGAAGACTCTGATAGCATTCTAGGGTCCCATATCTATTTTGTTTTGCATGCTTTTATGGGGAACGATATTGAGGAGGTTAAAGTGTAGTAGGAGAGAACTTGGCAACAGTCAAAGTTATGTCTGAAATTTACATATGCTAGTCAGACCAACCCTGGAGCAGACTAGAGTTCAAGAAAGATCCATAAATTTTTTTCCTGGGGATTACCAATCCCCTTGACATTTTAATTTAACATTTAGAATGAAGTTCTCCTGATATTTGTATCTACATCTACATGGAGGCACCCTGAACATTCTCATTTTCCTCTGATGTTTTTTGGCCTAGCATCATCTCCCAATGTTGAGATAGTTCACCTTGGGCCGAGAGAGAATGTCTTGAGAAGATCAGTTCCTGCCCCAGGCTGTCCTGTCCTAACCAACCATCCCTCACACTCCCTGGGACATTGCACCAAGATCCTATCCCACTGGCCTACAGGACTCCTCCCTGGAGAACCATGGGATCTTCAGAGTCAGAATTGATTGAGCCAGACTGCCGCTTCCATACCATGGTGATTAGGACCTGAGTACAAGAGATTGTCTTGGGGCATCTTTAAAGTTTGCTTGGGATTTGAATTTTAAGTTATCAGGTTAATAACTAGGCTTAAAATAGTCACCCCTCCTGATAGCATACACAAATATAACCCGTTCTATTCTTTTCCCCGGCTTCCCTGGTGGCTCAGTGGCAAAGAATCCGCCTCCCAATGCAGAAGCCGCAAGTTCAATCCCTGGGTTGGGGAGATCCCCTGGAGAAGGAAATGCAACCCATGCCAGTATTCTTGCCTGGGAAATCCCATGGACAGAGGAGCCTGGCAGGCTACAGTCCATGGGGTTGCAAAAGAGTCAGACATGACTTAAGACTAAACAGCAATTCTTTTTCCATCTGATTAAGGGTCATTAAGAACATTAAGAGTAGGGTTTGTGGATAAGGTGTGGTTCAGACAGTAAAGTGTCTGCCTACAATGCAGGAGACCCGGGTTCAATCCCTGGGTCGGGAAGATCCTCTGGAGAAGGAAATGGCAACCCACTCCAGTATTCTTGCCTGGAAAATCCCATGGACAGAGTAGCCTAGTAGGCTACAGTCCATGGGGTCACAAAGAGTCAGACATGACTGAGCGACTTCACTTTCTTTTTTTCTTTCACTATGTGTCCTTTAATCCTGTCTACGCATCCTCCCAGCCTTCAGTGTGGCCTGGAGTGAATGAGTTGTGGAAAAGAAACAGCCCTGCTGGAAATACTGTACAGCTGGACCGGTGCTGCTTGCCAACTGCACGCTTGCTGGCCTCCTCAGATGAGCAGGGCTATGCACACAAGAGGCTTGGATCTAGAAGCCTCTTTGGGTTTCCACTCATCCCTCTCAAATCTAAAAGGGGACAGTCCTCTCAACCAGCTGAACAGGAGCAGACAGAGAGAAAGTGGAGAGGCTCCCCTGCAGGAGAGACCTTGCTAAGAACACTTCCAGCTTGGAGGCTGGGGATGAAAGAAGAAATACGAAGAGGAACAGTGAGGGTGCATGGAGCTTGTGAAAGTGATACCTGGGTTCTGCCTTTCACTCACAGTCACTTCTGGCTGCTAGTCTGCCCTGCCCACCAGATTATCAGATCCTTTCCTAGGATGTGTATATGGGGAGGTAGAAGGAATAGAGACAAGGATCAGAGTGTGGGTGCAGTTTCTCCTCTGAGTCCAGACAAACAGTGGGTTGAGATGAGAGGACAATTTAAAAACCAAAAAGGCAGTCACCATCATGAATTTATTTCCCTGTTTGTAGCCTTATTTTTCCTGGACCAAACTTGGAAAGTGCTAATTTCTTGGAGCCTGTCATTCAGCATATTTCCAAGGCACTGAATGACTGTCATGTTTAATCTTGATGGATGCTCTCTGATGTGCATTAATAGACCCAATTTCTGATCAGGAAACTGGAGCTCAGGGTAACTAATCTGCCCAAAGCCACCCATAGCAAATAAAGCCAGCATCTGAATCCAGGTCTTTCTGGTTCCACTATGTCCCAAAGGAAAATTCTTTCCTCTATATTCTTTTAAAAATATTTTTGGATGTTAGAGTAATAACAAATAGAATTCTAGAAAATTTGGAAAATATAAAGACAAATAAAAGAATAATGAAAATAAAAATCAGTTGTGGTTCTGGCCACCTAGAAGCAACTTGTTTTAAAATTTTGGTGTTTTTCTTCTCAGTCTTTTTCAATATAGTGATAACAAAAGTAAACTTTTGTTAAGCTCTGGCTTTGTTCCAGACATTGTTCTTAGCTCCTTTTTGTGTCATTTTTTTCTCACAACAAATCAATAAGGTGGAGACTGTTATTATTCTAATTTTACTGGTAAAGACAATAAGCACATAGATGTTAAATAACTTATACAAGTAACAGGTGATTTGAAACCCAGGCAGATTGGCTTGAGAGCAAGGGTTTTCAGCCTCAGCACTGTTGGCATCTTGGTTTAGACAGTTCTGTGTTGGGAATGGAGCACTTGTCCTCTTTATTGTAGTATGTTTAGCAGCATCCCTGGCCTCTACCTATGAGATATCAACACTTTCCTCCCTGAGTTGTGAAAATCAAGAGTGTCCCAGTATTGCCAAATGTCTCCTGGGAGGCAAAATGACCTCTGGACCACTAGTCTAAGAGCCTGTGCTTTGAACAATGCATGGTGGTTGAGATAACATAGCCTCTTCATATTTTAAGTGTGTTTAGAGTATTTTCTTCTACATGTCAAGAAAGAAATACACCTTTGAATTCAAATACAGGCTATGAAACCTGCCTGGGATGTCAGCAGCTTTAAAGAGCATAGGTAGGAAATTAGTTGCTTCCATAAAAATGCTCATTAGTGGACTTCTGTCACAGGTTTATCTTATCCCACCATTGCCCAGTGTGGAGAATGTGTTTCTCTCTTATTACCTTTTCCCTGGTTCTATGCACCTTTAGCCTTCAGGAATTGGGATTTCAC